AACATACTAACACATCACATATGATCATTCAACTTAGTTGCACTCTCAAAACACCAAAACTAACATCAAAACACCAAATTTACATCGGATTCAAGCCTAAGTTCTTCTAAAACTTCCGAAACACGCATTTGACAAAAAACCCAACCAAAGCACCTCCGAATAACTTGAAATTTTGCACACACATCCCAAATCACCTAACGAAGCTACAACAACTCTCGGAATTCCATTCCGACCCTCGGATCAAAATCTCACCTATCAACCGGAATTCGATAAAATACTAACTTCGCCAATTCAAGCCTAATTCTACACCGGACCTCCAAAATCATTTCCGATAACACTCCTAAGTCACAAATCATCCCCCGAAGCTAACCGAATCGTCGGAATCCACATCCGAGCCCTCTAACTCATAGGTCAACATCCGGTTGACTTTTCCAAAACAAGCCTTCCTTAAAGAGACTAAGTGTCTCATTTCCTTCCAAAAATCAACCCAATTAAACTCGTTCACACAATACACTGATAATGAAGCATAACGAAGAAGGAAATGGGGGAAACGGAGCGGTTCTCATGAGACGACGGGTCGGGTCGTCATAGGGCAACTCTTTGAAATGTTCAAAAAAAAAAACAAAAAAACAGTCAAAGGTCCATGTCCCCAGAAAATAAAAGCTGGGGAAACTTGTTTTGAAAAAAATGAAAAAAAAGCAAAAAAGAAAAAAAGAGAAAAAGAAAAAAAAAGATGAAAAAAATAGTTTAGGTCAGATGTTTGAACTACGTTCGACCTGATTCCTTAAAGAAGGATACGTAGGCAGCCTCACGGTTCGGTCCAACCAAATAAGAATTCAAAAAAAGAAAATCCAAAAATCGCCAGTATCTAATACTGGGGCATGAGTTTGTTTAGTTTGAAAGAGTCGATTCCAAGAGTTGTAAGTCCACAACCCCTCATTTTGAGTCTACTTTGAGCCTTCGTGTGTCCTTTCTTTTCAACCCTATCCAAAAACCTTCCAAATAAAGACCTCCTGATCAGCCTTCAATAATGCCAAGAGAAGCATGCAATGAGCAACGGTTGTCACGCGACATAGAAAATGAGAGAGTCTTACTAGTGAAAACCCTCACGGGCACTGTAAGACGACGACAAGTAGAGATAAATAAATGAGAGATGCTTGTTGGTGAAAACTCCTCGAGGCACCACTAGTCGAAAGTGAGTCGTGAAGCTGATGTAAAGAATTGGCATAAATAAGCCCGACTTCAAAGGTCATAAGAATAGTAAAAGGGAAGAGTGAATTAGTTTGATAAATCAGCCACTAAGTCCAAAATGCATGTCATGATCATTAAGGCTAGTCATTGAAAAAAAAACTCTTCCTTCTGTCCTTCCGACAGGGGCATTTCTTGTTAATACTTTTTTCTTTGCATCATTGTGTCCTTCACTCTGAGTCCGTCCTTGTCAAAACAAGCAAGAAAAAATTTCAAAATCTGCTACCAGCTTTTCAGTTGCACAAAGTAAATTTGGCCAGCACATTCAGTTGTTATTGTCAGCACGCCTTGAGGATTCATGCAAAGGCTCCCCCAAAAGACTCCTGTCAGCCCACTTGGCGCAAGCAAAGATAACTGGTGATTCTCTCTGACACACAAATTGCTCAAAAAGCAGGAAGTCATTCAAAATATCAGAAAAGGTCACCTAAGAAAAGATCTCCAGTTGGGATAAGGCTGATTGAGCCACAAATACAAATGGTACTCGATGTGAAACAATTAGGGTTGATGTAGAGCAAAAGTCTCTTGGAACCGACTCAAGCTGATTGAGCAGAAGCCAAGCCGCCCGAGACTCAAGGCTACAAACCGACCACAATTTTCAAAACTGACAAATTTTTCTTTGTGTGAAACAGGAACAAAGTAGTGCAAGGAAAGTGCTTCAAAAATAAAAATAAAAAAAGAGAAGAAAAAGAAAAAAAAAGAGAAGAGCCGACAAAGGGAAGTTTCTCAAATCTTTGTCTTTATTTATCTTGCTATTGTGCATAAAATCTTGCCATTGATCTTCACATTTTTTCCCTAGGATAAAAGTCCTAGTCTGATGGACTTTCCTCCCAATAAAAATCTTAGTCTAATGGATTTTCTCCTAGGATAGAAATCTTAGTCTGATGAATCTTTCTCCTAAGATAACAAAAAAAAGCCTAGTCTGATGAGTCTTTCTCCTAGGATAAACGTCTTGATGTAACGACCCGACCGGTCATTTTGAGCTTTTGCACTTTGCTCGCCAGTTCCCGGGCATGACTTGCCTCGTGTAGTGTATTATGACTTATGTAAATCGTTGGCTTTGGGTTGCAGGATGATCAGAATGAATTTGGAAGAACGATTCTCAGTTTGAAGCTTGAAATTTGAAAGGGTTTGACCAATATTTAACTTGTTTGTATATGATCTCGGATCGAAATTTTTATGATTTGGTTAGCTCCGTTAGGTAATTTGGGACTTAGGAGCGTGATCAGAATGCATTTTGGAAGTCCGTGGAAGGTTTAGGCTTGATTTGGCGAAATTGAGATTTTCGCGATTTCCGGTTGGTAGGCGAGATTTTGATAAGAGAGTCGGAATGGAATTGCGAGAGTGGCAGTAGCTTCGTTGTGTCATTTGGGATGTGTGTGCAAAATTTCCGGTTATTCGGACGTGTTTTGGTTGGGTTTTTGATCAAAAGCGGAATTTGGAAGATTTTAGAAACTAAGGGTTGAATACGAGGTGTTTTGGTTGATTTAGTGTTGTTTGAAGTGTTTTGATGATTGGAACAAGTTTGAATAAGGAATTGGGATATGTTTGTGCTTTTGGTTGAGGTCCCGGAGGCCTCGGAGTGATTTCGGGTGGTCAACGGAGAGGTTGGAATTTTGTTGCAGCAGCTGATATTGCTGCTTCTGGTATTTTCGCATTTGCGGATTGGGGACCGCAGATGCGGGTGATTTATCGCAGAAGCGAAAAGGGGTCAAATGGGCAGAGACCGCAGAAGCGGTGTGGTGACCGCATCTGCAATGTCGGAGATGCGGGAGTTTAGCCGCAGAAGCGGTTTTTGTCCCTTAAGTGATTTCCGAAGAAGTGGAGGGTTAGACCGCAAATGCGGTACCGCAGAAGTGGAGTTTTGACCGCAGATGCGGAAAGGCCTGGGCAGAGCACATATATTATTTCATTTCGCGAGTTTGGGTTATTTCACCATTTTTGACTTCGACCTTGGAGCTTTTTGGGCGATTCTGAAGAGAGAAATCAAGAGACTTCGTTAAGGTATGGATTTTTGGACCAAAAATACATTTCTATGGTAGTATTTCATGAATTAAGGCTGTAATTAAAAGGATTAAAGGGCTATAAAAATGGAGGATTAGGGCTTGAGTTTAAGAGGCCTTGAATGAGGATTTGAGGGGTGATTTTGACTCCGATTTTAGTATTCTTGATATGTACGAACACGTGGGGAGACGAGGAATCTATTGATGTGAAAATTTCTGAGTTTTGAGAAGTGGGCCCGGGGCTCGGGTTTTGGTAATTTTGGGATTTGTGCCCTTTATTGATTGTTTTTGCTTGGGTTTTGTTCCCTTGGCATATTTTGACGTCCTCGTTCTGATTTTGGATAGATTCGACGCGTGTGGAGGCCAATTCGAGGGGCAAAGGTGTCGCGAGCTAGAGATTTAGCCGGTTCGAAGTGAGTAATGATTGTAAATGATGTTCTGAGGGTTTGAAACCCCGAATTGCACATTGTAGTGCTATATTGAGGTGAGGCACACGCTTGATGACGAGCGTGTGGTCGTGCACTATTGGGGACCGTGACTTGGTCCGTCCCGGTTGATGATTTTACCGCGTACTTGACTGAAATCATTACCGCGTACTTGATTGTGCCAACTATTTGAACCCCTCGGGGATCTTTCACTACAACAAAAAAGGCTTTTAATGGCAATTAAAATGCTTTATAGCGGCAGTAAAAATAGCCGCCAAAATATTTACCGGCAATTAGTTATTAGCCGTTGTAGCCGGCGTCGGCAAAGCCTTTAGCGGCCATTTATCTGAATGCTGGTAAAGGCCCTTGTTATGGCCGGTAAAAGTCCGCTAGTTTTGGCGACAATTATTACTGGCAATTATAATGGACACTAAAACTCAATAAAAATTCCATAGGCCCTACCTTTTTGCATATTTTATTATTGCCACTAAAAGTCAATTTAATAATCGGTAAAAAAACCCCTTTTGACAACAAATATAATATCCACTAAAGTTATCCTTGAATTCACCTTTATTCATTTATTTAATAGCTTTTATTACTGTCGATAAAAGTTCATGTAATTGCTATAACAATAACCTTTTAACAATTTTTCTAATTGCCGCTAAGTATTAAGAAAGAATTTTCCCACTTAATTATTTACTGGTATGCTTATTTATCTTAAAATGATACTCTTTTCAAAAATTCACTTAATTAATCCACACGTCAGAACTACTAATCCATAAATTGGAAGTGTCAACAACATAACAAAAACACTAACCTATTTGAATCTAATAACTAGTGTCATTTAGAATCTAATAAATTATTTATCAAGTAGCTATATACAATAAGCGACATAAGAAAGATTCTCCAACTCTTGATCATAATGAAATCTGCCATGAGCGATGATTTTGAATATCATACTGTATGACTTGAAATGATAAAATAAAATAAATGTAAACAAACAACCACATATGATGTTCAACAATAGTTAGTAAACTATCTACGTGACATTTACACGCTCATACTAGCATTTTAAGGAAGTGCTACTTCAAAATACCATTAAAACAAGTGAACAAGAAGTTTCTCAAAAGATAGATTTGTCTCAATGGTTTTCATTAATATTGCAGATTTCTTAAGTCTATCTGTATTTAACAATAGCAATCCAACAAAGAGATAGCACAAACATGTGGAGCACTTGCTGTTTTTGCCTACAAGAGCAGAATTGACGTATTCACATTTCTTTTTAGATAAAGAAAGAAGACTAGAGAAATGTGCAAAACCCAAAGTTCCGACAAGGATGCAAAGGTGATATTTTTACTCCATTTTCGAGATTTTACTCCTCTGCTTAATATTAAACATGCACACGAAGATAGGTACCAAAGCTTGTGTCACACCGATACTTACAAATAAATGCTAATATACGTAATCTCTCCTTACACTAGTGTGTTAACAAGAATTAAGGTCTTCTTATTAATAGAAATAGGAACACACACTTCCTGAAATTCACCGAAAAAATCGATTGTTTGTACCTTTATATCTTCTCTTGTAAAAACTTATTTTCCACTAAATATCAAGTTCACATGACCTGCAAAAAAATTAGGTGGTCCTCGCTTGATTAAGAGACTTAAGGTTATACAAAAGATGCTGAAAAGAATTTCTATAAAGGAACTAAAAAAATAATATTATTGATGGTATTTTTGTGTGGTAAAGGTGCTGGGGGACTGTCTAGATTTTAGAATTTATACGTGTGAGAGAAGCCTCAATATCTTCTCGTTCAGACGAATCAACATACTTAAGGTTTGATCAATATCTTTAGAATCAGGACTACCTATCTTGTAAGATGCCATTTCGAAAGTCCCTAATGCATCCAACCAGTTGGTAAACAAACAAAAATATTTAGGAATTCAAGTATTGTCATTTCAACCAAATTAAAATAAAAAAATCTTCCAACATAGACTAGCTAAAGAAAAAGGAATAGTGTTGAAGATTGAAAGTCATGACCAAGATATTATATCACACATACAGGACAATAGTAATGGTTCAACCAAAGAACTAGTCCAACAAGCAAAAAGATAGAACAACTTGTAATCTTTAAGACTAGCATCACGAGATATAAAGACCACTAGCAACACATTGACTTTTACCTTTTTTAAATATAAGATAGAAATTACTAGCAACAAAGAACCTATTTTGCATAGTTCATATTAATTGTGTCCTATAAGCTCTCAACAATTTCAGGAACAAAGATTAGCAATATATACATTCAAATATAAAAAGGAAAAGGAATTGTTACTTTGAAGTTTGAAATGGCATTCGTGGTGCTTGTACTGCTTGTTTCGCTAACTGACTTCTCCTCTCATATGTTGCTTGAGCTCTCTTATTCTCAAGATCTTGTGGTTATCACAAACAAAGGAGAAGTCACCATCAAAAGTTAGATATTTTAATAGAAAACTGAGACTTCAGTTATAATTATAGACTACAAGTATGAAAACTCATCTTACAATTTTCTTTTTACAAATATGAGTCGGAGCTCATTGTTACATGAATAAGGTTTAAGTAGAAAGAAAAAGAACTCCACGTGCTGCTTGGAGCAGAAAATTACATTTTCATATTGGTAAAAAAATACATGAAAATGAAGTCAAGAACACTATTTAACAAGAAATAGCTAACAAGTGCTATATGTTGCTCTATTGATTCTAATTGTGAAGTAATACAACTAACTAACTAGAGAGAATGAATGTAGGATAGATAAAAAACAAGATACAAGAAACTTACCCTGATAGTGTCATAATAATTCCATCCAACCTCTGATGAAAGCTTGCTCAAAGCAGTATGTATGTCCTGCCTCAAGCCTCAATACCCTAGCTACACGAGAGGATGGTAGTAACTTTAGTATAAAAAGAAACAATAATACTATGCGTAAACTAATACTTGAGTGCATCAGGAATAACTATCCTCTTCATCTTGTCATATGGGGATGGAACACCCTCATAAATAAATTATGTGTGCTGCACGGCAACTTACTTGAGCATATTTTGCTATGTGTAGACTAATATTTGTACCATTATGCCTAATTACTAGACATCTAGAAAATGAACTGAAAAGTATGTGTTAAGATTTAAGTCGAAGTTAAAATAAAAAAGCAAAGTTATTTAAGAAGTAGAGAAAGAAGCAAATAAATGAAGAGATAAAATTACTCTATAGAGATAAATCAATGTGAGTTGTGTTGTACCCTATCCTCTTTTCTTCAATCTTTATGTGCTTTAAATGTGATATTGTTCCAAGCAACTGTATTTGTGATATTTTTCTTCCTGTTTCCTCCATCTATTATGCTACATCAATATCACAACTTTATATATATCTATCAAACTTTTACTAAAGTGAGAGTTCCAATGTTTTCAAATAATTGGAGGAAATAATCTTGGTCAGTCAAGATTTTGAATGAATTTGTTATTCCATTCATCGTGCAGCCTCCCCTCATTTTCTAATTATTATTCCAAGTTATAGTAGAATTAATATTCAAATTTGTATCTACTTGAAAAAAATAATATCAACTTGTACCTAATTCCTTTTCACAGCCTTCAATCCAATTATGATAAACCCCATTAAAGCCACAATACCAATCATAAATCAAAGAAAAGTGAGACCCGATTCTCTTAAATGGAAAGAATAGACATACCATGATTATTAAATAATCCTATACCTTTCATAATATACTTCTTTTCCAAAGGATTCACTATAAATATAGCACCTTTCTTTGACACAAACTCTCTTTCTTTCCATTCTCTCGCCTCTCTCCAAATTTATATTCCTAATTCCCTAATCTGTAATTAATATCAATAATTTACAGATAAAATATTAGGATTAACTACAAAAAAAAAAAAAAGTGTTGGATATGTGGGACAATAATTGTCATTTTCTCCATTCATACTTATTAGACATTCCTACTCATCTCAATAAAGCCAAAAAGAAGATCAATTGTCTTACCATGAAATAGCAGCCAGTGAGGGTGAGACAGAGAAAAGTTAGTCAGCAGCGGGCAAGCATCGATGATGAGAGTCTTCACGTGGGGATGGATGGTGGCCATCAACAGTGCGACAGAGAAGGCGCAGTGGCGACGAAAGAAGCCTTTATTGTGGGATGGTGGCCAGCGATAACAAGAAGAGGGAAACTGCAATGATAAACTTCGTTTGTATTTTTGGAATATTTTCCAAATTTTTTGAACTTAGTTGTTGATTAAAATTGGAGGGAATGGGTGATTTTAGTGAAAATAACTGGAGGGTAAGCTAAAATATTAACTAGCAGCTTTCAAGAAATGTCTTTTAGTGGTCATTCATTTTTATCACCAGTAAAAAGGTACGCAATACCGGCTGATTCACAATTGCCGTTAGCATTTGGATTTTTGGAATTATTTACCGGCCATTAGCTTATTGCCGCTATTTAATTGCCGCTAAAAGACCTTTTTGTTGTAGTGTTTGTTGATATTTCCTCACTGTTTTGACTTTATACTTGAACTCAGTCATGTTATTTTCCACTGTTTTCAAAACTCAGCCATGCTCACTCAGTTTTAATACTCAAATGATATTTAAATGATGTTTTGGGCTGAGAAACACTGTTTCACTGTTGCCCGAGAGGCATATGTGATTTTTGACTGAGTAAGGCCGAGGGCCTGTGTTGTGAGGATATCTTTTGGGTCGGGCTGCACGCCGCAGTGGTGATACACTGATATTGATTTGAGGCCGAGGGCCTGAGATATGTACGCCACGAGGTGGCTTGATTGATATGAGGCCGAGGGCCTAGATTTGATGCCACGAGATGGCTTGTTATTGTGCTTGGGCCGTAAGGGGCCCCTCCAGGAGTCTGCACACCCCCAGTGAGCGCGGGTACCCATTGTGATGTGAGATATAGCCCGAGGGGCTGGTATTGTTCCATGTGATTGCCCGAGGGGCTGATATTTTTCTATGTGATTGCCCGAGGGGCTGGTACCGTTCTGAGATATTGCCCGAGGGGCGGATTTGTTGACATTGTGCCCGAGGGGCGAACCTTATGTGCTTATCTTTCTTATTTGCTTGTTATTTACCTGCTTAATTGTGTATTTGTGCCCGAGGGGTAGATTTCTGTGCTTATCTGCACTAGTTGTTCTGCATTCATTTGCGTAACTGTTGAAAAGGTCATTTTCAAAGAAGTTTAAACTGAGCTAAGATGTTTAAGGGATTTTACAGCTTCATTGCTTTCTTACTGGTTTTTGAACCGCTTCTATACAACATGTTGATGCTCTTTTTGTGATTTCTTACCATTCATACTTTAGTTATGATTATTACTCACTGAGTTGGCAGTACTCATTTTACTCCCTGCACCTTGTGTGCAGATTCAGGTATTTTCTAAGCTTGGTGGCAGTTGTCATTGGAGTTAGCAAGGTAGCTGCCTAGCGATCGCGGCTCTGCTTTCTCCCTCTTTATTCCTCCTTATGTATTATTGCAATTTTTCCGACCATTTCGGTCTTGATGTGACTAGACAATTGTAGTTGATGCTCATGACTAGTGACACCCCGGTATCGGGCTGTGTTGGGTTGTATTCCGCGAATTGTTTTGTATTATCATCGTTATTTCTAAGATTATATCATGTTTTAGACGTAATGCTTATTGTTTAATTGCTTAAAAACTGGATTGGAAATGTGTCGGCTAGCCTAGTCTTCACGAGAGGCGCCATCACGACCGGGTCTGTGTTTAGGGTCGTGACACTTAGTCTGATGAATTTTCCTCCTAGGATAGAAGACCTAGTCTGATGAATTTGTCTCCTAGGATCAAAATCTTAGTTTGATGAATCTTTCTCCTAAGATAGAAAATCTTAGTCTGATGAATCTTTCTCCTAAGATAGAAAACCTAGTCTGATGAATTTTCTCCTAGGATAGAAATCTTAGTCTGATGAATCTTTCTCCTAAGATAACAAAAAGGGACCTAGTCTGATGAATTTTCTCCTAGGATCAAAATCTTAGTCTGATGAATTTTTCTCCTAAGATAGAAGACCTAGTCTGATGAATCATTCTCCTAGGATAGAAATCTTAGTCTGATGAACTTTCTCCTAGGATAGAAATCTTAGTCCGACGAGTCTTTCTCCTAAGATAACAAAAACAAAAAAAACAAAAAAAAATAAAGAAAGTAAAGGACCTAGTCTGATGAACTTTCTCCTAGGATCAAAATTTTAGTCTGATGAATCTTTCTCCTAAGATTAAAACCTAGTCTGATGAATTTTCTCCTAGGATGATAATTTTAAATTGAAAAGGGAGGTCTGAATTTGAAAAAAAAAAGGGTCAATTTTTAGTTTTCTTGAAATCAGGGGTCCCGCCTGGAGAATAGGGCCAGTTTTTACTTTCGTCAAGCTTAATTTATAGTTTCCCGCAAGCTCAATCTTAAATCCAGGAGACGCACTTCCTGGTCTGGGTCATTCAGGTTTTTTAGCAGACGCATTTGCTAGTTGAAATTGTCTTGGTTTTACTCATAGGAGACGCACATCCTAGTCGAGTCTTCAATTGCATCCTTCATCAATAGCATAAGTGATTCATAGGTCTGCTAACAACTCACAAAACTTCCTAGTGCAAACTGGGGCAGAAAAGTTTCTTTTTTTTTTGTTTGTTTTGCTGTAGTATCAAGCGCTCACCTGGAGAACAAGGGAATTTATTTCAGAGTCACTTCAAATTTCAAGTCAGTAGTAGGCGCCCACCTGGAGAACAAGGGAAGTCATTTCAGAATTCAATTCAAGTTAGAAGTAGCAGAAGCTCGCGGCAAGAATGCGGGTCAACAGTCCGAGATGACCAACAAAAGTAGTCTCAATCCAGAAAAAAAAAGAAGTGAATCCAAAATGCAGAAGCAGAAATAAATGTGAATTGCTCAAGACGTGGTTGAGGTCACGAGCGCTACATGTCCGGTCTTGATCAGAAGAAGTTGAAAAAGGAAAGAACCAGCACCTGCAGCTAACAAACATCAAGATTCAGATCAGAGTCCGCATGAAGAACCAACCAAGACTCAAGATCAAGCTTCAGAAGACTCATAGATAGGAATCTTGTAACTCGTAGCTGATAGGATTAGTTAGTTTTTTTTTTAATTTTGATTTTGATGTAATAACGGGACCGCAAACCGGAACCTCGACGGAACGACACCTCAATCGGCTCTCCACCTCGGTATACTCCATCACTGTTCCTACCTCTGAACTACACGTGGACTGATTCCTTTATAGCCAAGGATATGTAGGCAGCTCAGTTACCAGGGTTCGGTCACATTCCCCTTTCTCTTAGTTTTTGGTCTCTCTAAATAAGGGTCGGGTCAAAAACCTGTCTCGTCGTTCTTTGTCTGAAAACTCTTCGCATTTCCAGTCAAAGAGGGGCAGCTGTAGACATGTAATTTTTGACCCTCCCCATGATTTTACACATTTTAGCGTAAAATATTTAGTTTAGGTTTAGTATCGCTATTCTAAATAGTGTTGACTCTTTTACTTTATCTTATCACAAAAACTGAAAATTACAAAAAATATTTTCTTTATTTAGCTAATTAATATTTTATCTAGTTACTTTTAATTTATCCACCTCACATAAAATTTAAAAATACAAAAATATAGTTCCACTTTATTTTCAGGAATATTATTTTAATTTTTATAATGTTTTTTCCATTTTTATCTTTTAGTATGATATTTGAAAAATATCAAAAATAGGTTTGTTTTAACGGTTAGTTTTATTTTATAATTATTTTACTTAAGTAGGATTAATTAGTAAATGGTGTAGTATTTTTGGTCTTGTTTTAAAAGAAAGAGTACGAAATTTGAGGCTAATTGTGTTTGGTCTTAATTGAAAAAGGCCCAATTTCGGATAGCCCAAAATATTGAGCCCATACCCATTCCCCATTTGACCTAACCTAATTTCTACCCCTATAAAATAATGCCTAATTCCTAAATCCTGGAGGACCTAGCTAAGAAAAAATTCCTACACCTAAAACAAAGGAGAACGGCTGGAAGTAACAGACACAAAAGAAGCTAGAAGACTCCCCGAAAGAAATGGAAAACCATCTCTTTCTCTCAAAAAATAAAATGAGCAGCACCTCCCTTCAAAGAAAAATCGACATCAACATTACCTGTAGACTAAAGTCATTATACGAGATTCCAAATCTTTGCTACAAAATAATCTCTCTCATTCAAAATTTTCAGCATGGCACTGTCACGACCCAAAATCCACTAAGGGTCGTGATGGCGCCGGACACCGCTGTCAGGCAAGCCAACCAATTATATTAAACTCCAATTTTAATAATTTTTTAAAAACCAAGATTCTCCTTTAAATTTCATAAGCAAAAAGATAACTGCTTCAATTCAAATTAAATACTAGCAATCAATACAAAATATTTAAAAACCATCCCAGAACCTGGTGTCACAAGTGCATGAGCATCTATTGATAAGGAAATAAAATACAGTACAACATCCGTCCGGAATAAAGTGGACAGAAAGAAAATACAATTTGTTGGAAGGGACTTTACTAGCTGCGGGCCGCCTCGAAATATGCAACTCACCCAGTATCCGAATCATCCGTGCTGCTATGCCCAATGGGCTGCTAGAGATAAATATACCGGTGCAACAAAAATGCACAGAAGTGTAGTATGAGTACGTAAACAACGTGTACTCAATGAGTATTCCGCCTAATCTCGAAGAAGTAGAGACGAGATGGTCAACTTCGACACATACTAAGGGTCCAATAATGTGATATCAATAAAACATGATTTTTAAGCCAACAGAAGGAAACAAGTAAACAATTAATTCTTTTATAGGCAATTTCAAAAATTCCTTTTCGTAATTATCCAAATGTTTTCAAGCCATGAAGAGGCAATAATAACTTAATCAAGTTCAGGGCAGCAACACAAGCATGCGCATATAATGCCGAGGCGACGGCCCGACCCAACAAAATTAAACTGTGCACTTGCCGAGGGTCAACGACGCGCCTATAGATGCATCTATTTAATCTGCCGAGGCGTTCGGCCCGTTCCAAAATAAACACGTAGAGACATTCAACCAAGAAGCTAACATGGGGCAATTATTCAAAGAAAAGCTAATTCTCTTTCAACAATTTACGAAAATGAGGTTTAGATCTTGTTAGAAATTCATTTACTATTTTGATGTGGTTTAAGCGATTCAACTATCCATAAGATTACAAATATTCAAAGTATAGCATGCTTTTGGGTCCTAGACTACCCGGACAATAGCATAATAGTAGCTACGCATGGACTCTCGTCACCTCGTGCGTACGTAGCCCCCGCGATTAGGAGCACATAATCAATTATTTCACCTATGGGGACAATTTCCTCTTACAAGGTTAGAAAGGAGACTCACCTCGCTCCGAAGATCCGTAACCGGCATTCCACGCCCTTTCGAAGACTCTAATTGATGCACCACGCTCCAAAACTAGCCAACGGTTACGCAAATCCATTAATATATGCTCAAATATTCGTTACAATCTAATTTATAGCAATTCCTAACTCCAATCGAA